CTCAAAAATTAAAAAAAAAAAAAAAAAAAGACACATTATTCACTACAGCCAAGATATGAAAATAACATACATGTCCACTGACAGATGACTAGGTTAAGAAAATGTGGTATGTATACATAATGGAATACTATTCAGCCCCAAAAGAGGAAATCCTACTATTTGCAGCAACATGGACAAAACTGCTAACTGAAATAAGCCAGACACAGAAAGATAAATACTGTACCATCTCACTTATGTGTGGAATCTAAAAAAGTCAAACTCACAGAAGCAGAAAGTGGAATGGTGGTTACCAGGGGCTGGGGATGGGGTAATGAGAAGATGTTGGCCAAAGCATACAAACTTTCAGTTACAGGAGGAGTAAGATCTGGGGGTGTGACGAACAGCACGGTGGCTATAGATAACAACACTGTATCTTTACTTGAAATTTGCTAAGAGAGTAGATCTTAAGTGTCCCCATCCTCCCTACTCCCCCACCCCCAAACACAGAATGGTAACTCTGTGGGGTGACAGGTGTGTTCATTAGCTTGATTGTGGTCATTATTTCACAATGTGTATGTATGTATATGTCTGCAAAATTATTACTTTGTACACCTTGAATACATACAAATTTTACTTGTCATTTCTATCTCAACAAAGCTGGGGAGTGGGAAGAGTGACACATTGACCACCTATAAATCTGGACAGGACAAATCTGGACAAACCCTAACCCTAACCAAGACATAAATGTTGGGGCTGGAGTCACATAAGTGTAAGTAGCAACACTGGTTATCATGTTCTCATAACAGAGACTAGAAGAACAATTTGATTATCTGCATAATACAAGTTTTTGTTTTTTTAGAGATAGGGTCTCACTCCATCATCCAGGCTGGAATATAGTGACACAATCATAACTCCCTGCAGCCTTGACCTCCAGGGCTCAAGCAATCCTCCTGCATCAGCCTCCCAAGTAGCTGAGACTACAGGCACACACCACTATGCCTGGCTAATTTTTTTACTTTTTGTAGAGATGGGGTCTTGGTATGTTGCCCATGCTCTGATTACTTAACAGACAAAACTCCTTCAAAGAGAATAAAATAATAACAAAAATGCCCGGGATGATACAAATTTAAAGCCAAGGGCCTAAAGGATGTAGGTCACAATTCTTAGTATTCTTGGTATTTCTTGGTCCCCAACCTTTCCACCTAGACCTATTTCTTAATGCTGACAATTTCTCTTTATGTCACCTCAGGTAAATCACCTCAGGCTGATCCATCTGCAAGGTGAGAGAGGGAGGCTCAGTGTCTTCACCCTGTGCCCTAACCATTTCCCCCAGCGATCCTCAGACACCTTTAGCTTTGCCAGCAGTGTCACGCAAGGACACTTAGCATTCTGTTCTGCATCCCTGTGGCTGTAGCTCTGAATGGCATGGCAATTCATGTGGGCTTAGTGAGTGTAAAAGCTGTCTCACGGAAGGCCTCCTCCTCCTCAGCAAACGGGGCAAGAGCAAGAGACAGCAATAGACATGTGCGTGGTCTAGCATGGCACACTTGAAACTTTTTAGTATGGAAAATGGCAAACTGCACAAGAAGACAGAGTTGTATAATGAACCTGCACATCCCCATTCACAGGCTTCAACTCTCAACCATACTTCTTGACCTCTGCTCCCACTCACACACATCACACACACCCTTTTATAAGCTACTTGTGTTATTTTTCTTTGGGTTGTTTTTTTTTAAATTAAAAAAAAATTTTTTAGAGATGTGGGTCTTGCTACGTTGCCCAGGCTGGTCTTGAACTCCTGGGCTCAAGTGAACCTTCCACCTCAGCCTCCCAAAATGCGGGATTATAGGTGTGAGCTACTGCACTGGGCCTTAGTATTCTTTTTGAAGCAAGCCACAGACTTGCTTGTCTTCCATAAATGTTTCAGTATAAATCTCTAAAAAAAGAAGATGACACGTTTTTATAAATAGAACCATAATGTCATTATCATACCCAAAAGGTTAACCACAATTTATTATGTTACATTTATTCATGCATGTCCCCCAGAGGTGGTCACCGAGTCTTCTTGAGTTCAACACAACCTCTTCTCATGGGCACATGAAGGAAGGTGCTGTGGGCACCTGGGACAAGCAGACACCAGCTAAACTAGAGTCCTTGCCTTCTTCAAACAAGACAATGACCAGGATTGCACACTTTGAACACATGTGTGATCAGCAGAGAAGCATGAAGGATGGAAGGTGGGATAACAATAATGGTGATAATAACAGTAACAGAGGTGGAGGCGTAGATAAATGGTCGCTGTGCCAGCCACTTCACTGGACTCATCTGGTTTATTTCTCAGCCCTGCCCTGTGAGGAAATATATTTCCCTGTCCTGAGACGGGAAAGCCAAGGCCCAGTATGACTCAACGGCTTGCCTAAGACTTCACAGGGTGCAGTGGTGCTGGGGTTGATGCTCGCTTTGTCCTCCGGCAGAGCCTCGTTCCTTGTCCCTCTGCTATGCTGGCAGAACCTGCCCCCCACTGATGTCTGGGGAAGAGGGTGGCACTACTCCTGGGCATCCCCCACCAAAACTCCCCAGTGCAGCCTATGAGTCCAGGGAGCAGGTTATGGGGTACCCACACTCTCCTGGCCTCTCCCCCCACAGTCCCCAATACAGTGAGGTCCTCTACAAGTGTGTGCCTCAGGGGAACACGGGGGACCTCTCAGCACCCTCAGGAGGTGACACTCACCAAACTGGCCATCCAACTTCACATACAACTCGATGACGCCATAGGCGATGGTGGTGGCAGCTGGGATCTCCAGCACCACGTTGGTGTCCTTGGTGACATTCCCATCTTCTGTCGCAGATACCTGTGGATGAGAGCACACACTCCCACCTGTGCACTCAGGCTCTCCCTGATTTCTACGCGCCTCCCCACTGTGTCTAGCCTCATGTCTCATATGTAAGAGATACTGGAAACATGTCCACAGCCGGACACAGTGGCTAACGCCTATAATCCTAGCACTCTGAGAGGCTGAGGTAGGAGGATCACTTGAGCTCAGGAGTTTGAGACCAGCCTGGGCAACATAGCGAGACCTTGTCTCTACAAAAAAATTTAAACTACAGGTATGTGCCTGTAGTCCCAGTTACTCAGGAGGCTAGGCAGAAGGATCACCTGAGGCCAGGAGGTTTAGGCCTCAGTGAGCCGTGATTGTGCCACTGTACTCTAGCCTAGGCAACAGAATAAGACACTAACTCAAAAAAAAAGGAACACGTCCACAGACTACAGAAATGAGTAGGAGAGAGGAGCCAGGCACCAGAAGGCAGCAGAGGTAGGGATTTAATCCTTGTTGGTGGCATCATGTTCCCAAGTAAATGGCCAACCTGGTGGCATAAAAGCAAGATTCTAGAGTATGGGATCCCATGAAATGAAGTCTGGAGTGTGAGCAGTGATCCCAAGTGAGGGAAATAAGATCACCTCCCAATTCCCTTCATCAAGAGTTGCTGTAACAACTTTGAAACTCACATGCGAATATCCTAAACAATAACAAAGCTTGACTGAGAGAGCCTGGCTAGGAGAGAGTACGCCAGTCCAAGCATGATCATCCCCCTGTGATATGTTGTGCTGATACCCAAAACCAGAAAGAGAGGGAAGTGGGAGAGGCTGGGGAGAGGAGAGGCCAGGAAGTGAGGCACCAAAGCTCTCTCCTTCAAATGCTCTTACAAATACAGTCCCTTCCCACGAAGCCCTGGGGAGAAGAAGATGAGAATCTATTTATTGGTCAAGCACTGGAGATCAGAGAACTCTTTTTAGCAACTTGATCCTGGTCAGAGTGTGTTGCTTTGGGTCAAGAAATGGCCGCCTGACTCCCAGAGGACTTCGGTGGGTGGTGACTGTGACAGAAGTGTCGGCCAGGCCAGCCTAAGCCCTCTCCCACTGGCATCTCCCTCACCACTGCTGCCCGGCCCACCCGCCCTGCTCTCCCCAGTGAGAATGTCGGCTCCAGACCTGTATCTCCACCTCCCTCCAGATACAACTTTCCTGGGTCCTCCAGAAAAAGTCAAAAGTTACCCCAAAAAGTAAATCCCAAAAATTATCAGCCACCACAGCAAGCTGGAAGGGAAACAGTTAGGACTTGATGGCCACCTATTCCACTGAAGTTTGGTACTAGCTTAGAAGTCAGCTTGCTAAGACTGTGTAGAACTTAACCCAGAAGAGGCCAGTCACAGTGGCTCATGCCTATAAACTCAGCACTTTGGGAGGCTGAGGCAGGAGGATTGCTTGAGTCCAGGAGCTCAAGACCAGTCTGGGTAACATAGTGAGACCTCGTCTCTACAAAAAAAATCAAAAAATTAGCTGGGTATGGCATGCCTGTAGTCCCAGCTACTTGGGAGGCTGAGGCAGAAAGATCATCTGAGTCCAGGAAGTTGAGGCTGCAGTTAGCTATGATTGTGCCACTGCACTACAGCCTGGGAGACACAGTGAGACTCTGACTCAAAAAAACCAAAAAAACACAAAAACAGAAGAATATATATATATATATGTATACATATATATATATATGTAGATTTTAACTCAATTCACAAAGAACTTGAGGCAGCTAATCCCAGAGTAATCATTTTGAGAGCCCTCGCTCTGAGGGGCCCTGTGGATTCTCTTGGATTTGGTCTGGCCAGTGCCCATTTATCCATCTTCCTCCTCCCACAGGAAAGATCACCTGATGCCAGCCCACCCAGCCAACCCGAGTGTTCTGTGGCCCTGCCCTGCTTCAAGAGTGGGCACAACCCAGATAGTCTGGTGAGACACAGGCCCGAGGTGCCCTCATCCTTGGAATTGCAGCAAATCCAGTGGAAGCCTGGAACTGCCAGCCCACAAGGGGAGAGCCTATCTGAGACCCCCAAGGCAGCTCACAATATCCAGGGGCCTGGATTCAGCAATGACTGAAGTTGCTTACTCCAAATATTTCAGCCACACAAGATGATAAATTCTTGCCCACTTAAACCAATTGGAGTTTAATTTCTGTTAACCTGCTACGGAAAGAGTCCTGACGGACGAAGACATCATCACCCAAAGAAGCCCCTGACCACGGTCTCCACGGCTGGGACCAGGTGGGCTGCTATGGCCTTGACCCCAAGGGCCCCCTGCACACACCTGCACCGTCTTGGTCTGGATCCCTACCATGCCGCCACACTTCTCCTCAATCTGAACGTGTTCCGAGATCACACACTTCTGCATCGTCGTGATCTTCTGGGTCAGGATGCACAGGACCTCGTTCCTCCTCTCCAGCACCTGCTGGAGCACGGGGTTTTTCAGATTTATTGTTCTGAAAAAGAAACAGGTTGGTGAGTGGCCTAGTGCCTCAGGGGACATCGATGCAGCAGTGAGTTTCCTCCTCCTCCTGCACAGCAGGGAAGTTGAGGAGCAAACAGATGACAACTGGCTTCGTTGATTTCCTGGTGTTGAAAGAGGGGACAGGTCATGGGGAAAGGCATAAACCAAACACTCCCAAGATTCCCTTGGAGCAGCCAGGCCACTGGGGGGACAGGATGGATGGGCACTGCTGAGTAAGAAGAAAAGGAAATCAACCAGTAGGAGACGGGCAATCCATCTGTCGTAAACCCTGGGAAAGCCACTGTGTTATTTCATCAGAGCTGAAGGATGTCAGACCTTGCAGCCATGGCCCGAGGAACACAGGTTGATGACAGGAGGAATGGCAGCTCACAGCTTCTCGCAGAAGAGAAAGGAACAGCCTTGAAGTACAAGTATTGAGGAGGAAATTAGATTCAAACTTCTTAACATGTCTGAGAAAGATGTTCAATCTCTTAGAAGAGGTTTCATGTCCTTGACCTATAGGGAAACTGAGGTCAGCCAGGTGTGGTCTGCCCAGAGTCACTCAGCAGAGACTTGGGACTCCCACTCAGCCCCTTGAAATTCTGCAGAATTTCAAGAACAGACTGCATTTCTATTAACAGCAAATGATTTCATGCTTAAAAGCAAATGATGAAATAACCTCTCTATCACTTATAAGCAGACCCTGAACATTTACCATGATACTGTAAGAAAGGGATTGGCAGTAGCAGAATACTGCCAGGGTAGGGGACACAGTATTTCAAGCCAGGCAAAGCGGGGACCAAAGGTAGGTCCAAACCTTACTTGTGCGATGACCATTATATACCTAATCCTGGATTGTACCCCACATTTTTAAAATAAAAAAATGAAATAACCTCTCTGGAGATCTCATTCAATGACACGGTTCTATGAAATGGGCAGAAAAAAAACAATTTAGAGGTGGTATCAGCACAAGAATTATGGTGTTCATCCTGGTCTTTTTATTTTATTTTATTTTATTTTATTTGAGTCAGGGTCTCACTCTGTCATCCAGGCTGGAGTACAGTGGCACAATCACATCTCACCCACTGTAGCCTCAATCTCCTGGTCTCAGGTAATCCTTCTGCCTCAGCCTCCCAAGTAGCTGGGATTACAGGTGTATGCCACCACACCTGGCTAATTTTTTTATTTTTTGTAGAGACAACGTCTCATGATATTGTTTAGACCAGTCTCAAACTCCTGGCTCAAGCAACTCTCCTGCCTCAGCCTCCCAAAGTGCTGGGATTACAGGCATGAGCCACCATGCTTCAGGCCTACCCTGGTCTTTTTAAGCAGCCCAAGGTTAGCTATCTTGAAAAGCTCAACCCCCCTCCCTCCAACCACACCCAGCGCTGTGGGCCACTCTCATTCTAGAATCCTGAAGTCAGATTCTCTAGACTTCAGAAAGGATGCCCAGAGCTGGATTGAGAAACTGGGGAAGTCTCACTTCAGTGTAATCACCAACCCAGGGCAAAAACAACCGCAGTGTCCATCAATAGATGAATGGGGAACCAAAGAGTCGTATATTCATGTAATGAGATCTTAGACAGCCATAACAAGAAGTTTTGACACAAGCGACAACACGGATGAAGCTTGAGGACATTATGCTAAGTGACATAAGCCAGGCACAAAAGGACAGTGTATGGTTCCACTTGCATGAAATATCTAGAACAGGCAAATTCAAAGTGACAGAAAGCAGATTGGAGGTTACCAGGGGCTGGGGGGGGGAGTGGAATGGGAAGTCATTGCTTAATGGCTACAGAGTTCCTGTCTAGGGTGATGAAGAAGTTCCAGAAATGGACGGCGGTGATGGGTGCACAACGGTGTGGATGTCCATTTAACACCAAGGTATTGAACACTTCTAAATGATTGAAATAGCCGGGCACAGTGTCTCACACCTATAATCCCAGGACCTTAGGAGACTGAGGTGGGAGAACTGCTTGACTCCAAACCAGCCTGGGCAACCTAGCGAGACTTTGACTCTACAAAAAAATTAAAAATTTAGCTGGGCATAGTGATGCACACCTGTAGTCCTAGCTACTCAGGAGGCTGAAGTCAAAGGATCACCTGAGCCCAGGAGGTTGATGCTGCAGTGACCTGTGATCATACCACTGCACTCCAGCCTGCAACAGAGACCTTCACTCAAAAAAAGACAAAAAAAAAAAAAATTAAAATAGCAAGTGTTATTCATATATATTTTACCATAATAAAAAGACATAAAAACTGGTTCAATCTCAGCATTAGTCAAGGAAATTCAAATTATAACAATGCTTGTATCACAAGTAATCCAAATATATGGATAACAACCACCACAAAGCTGCCCAGAGACTCCATTTCTGGGAAGGAATACAAAACAGGGTTCGAATCCCAGCTCCACCCTCCCACTGGGCAACCTCAAGTGAATGATTCCTCCTCTGCACCTAGGTTTCCTCATGGATAAACATGGTCACGGTGCCCTCCTCGTGGGGTTGTGTTAGGATGTAGATGAGATGGCATGCTGTGAGCAGTCGGTGTGTGCCAAACACAGAGTGAAAGGCCACGCAAATGCCAGCCAGCTCCAACCACCTTCCTGTGTTCCTCTCGGGCACCCACAAAGCAAAGCCACAGTGTGTGCACTGCATGGGAGCTCTGGCTATTTAGATGGCACGGGGTACTTTTTCACGTCATTCCCTTCTTAAAAGACTTTGATGGCTGCACCCCATATCCGCCACTCCACCAGGCTGTGAGGCCTAGGTAATCTGCTCCCAACTCCTGTTAACCTTACCTTCCAGCCCCATCTCTGCGCCTGAAACACGCCAGGCACACACGCAAACCAAGGTCTCGGCACTCTGCCCCAACTGCCACATCTCGCAGACTCACGGGTCACCTCCTGGGGGTGCAGCCCCCATACTATCTGTAGAATGACACCCTGCCATGCGGTCACATCCTAACACCATTCCTCTAGAGACAGTTCCATATTATATTTTTCTAGCTCATTTTTTTATTTGTGTATTGCCTGCCTTCTCCATCTAGAACATAAACTTCATGGAGGCATGGACTGTGCTGTTTCATTCACTGCATATCTCAGGGCCAAAGTCAGCACCTAGTCCATACGAAGAGGCCAGTAAATACATTCTGAAAAATTGAATAAATAAAACTTGTGGAGTTTTTTTCCTCTTTTTTTTTGAGTTGCGCTCTCACTCTATTTCCCAGGCTGGAGTGTGGTGCCATCTTCATGAGTTACCGCAGCCTCAACGTCCTGGACTCAGGCAATCCTTCTACCTCAGCCTCCCGAGTATCTGGGACTACCAGCACACCACCACACCTGGTTAATTTTTTAAATTTTTTTTGTAGAGAGGAAGTCTTGTTATGTTTGCCCAGGCTGGTCTCAAACTCCTTCAGCCTCACCCTCTCAAAGTGCTGGAATTGCAGGCCTGAGCACCTGCATGAGTTTTATCCTCTTTATATTTGCTTTAATGAAAATGGAAACATGTATTTGTGCATCCATGTGTGAAGATGGAGGATTAGCAGCTAGGTTTCACGTGTAAATGTAAACCTTCCTGAGAGACTGTGTTTTATACCCACAGGCAGAGACTTTAAAGATAAAGGTCATGGTGTCCACTAGTCAGAGCACAGAGTCAAGTGTTCCCTTCCTAATGTTGCCATCCCTTTATTGTACAGCATTCTGTCTTCTAGTAGATTCTTGAAAATCTGTACCCTCGGTTACAGTGAAGGCATTGGCTCACCCCCAGCCGGAAGCAGTGCCTGACTCATAACTGATGGCAGAGGAACGACTGAAGGTAGACTTTAGGAGTTGATGTGACCCCACCGGTTTGAAAGACGCCGCACTGCAACGTGCCCCAAACAGAGTCCACTCAGATACCTGATGATGCTCTTTGCCAGTGTAAAAATCTTTGAAAGGAGAGAGCTCAGCATAGACCACCCATGAGGCCATGCTTAAAATGCTTCCCAAACACCAAAGGTGGGGGGAGCAGTCTACAGCAGCAGGGAACTTCCCTCTGCATCTGATGATGGGACAGTCTCGAGATGCTTGCTGGGACCAGCCGAGCACCTTCAAGGGGTCACTGTCCTCAGGAGGTCCCCGTAGGACGACCCCACTGCAGGGCAGGGAACAGACGCTCTCCCAGGGACAGGGCCCATCTCCAAGGCTGAGACCAAGTCACAAAGTAGGAGAGAGTCACAGGGCTACATCTCACAGAGTAGACCGGCTGGGAAATCCTTTCCTGGGCTACAAAGGCAGGGCTGCAAGGACCAGCAGGTGGCCTCCACCCGGCAGTAAAGAAGAACAGACCACTCCCACCCTAGTCACTGGGATTCCGTTTCTCAGGACAGTGCTGCCACCTTTTGGAAACCGGATGCCAGACAAATCTAAGCATCTGTCAGGAGAGACCTCATGGGAACAGTGGGGAAGCCACCTATCAGGGGAAATGAATTGTTCCTTTGGCTCTTTGCAAAGCAATCTCTAGAGGGGGTTCTTCCCCATCTCCCTACTCCCCCCCAGTCAACTCTGCCATGCCCCAAGCAGTCCCAGGGGAGAGAGCAGACACTCCCTTGAGACAGTGCCCTCAGGTGCAAACCTAGAACAAAGCAGGACCCTGGTTCTGGCTCTCCTCAGAGCTAGAATCACCATGTGACAAGGCTTATCTGGGCCCACCAAGTGGGGAAACCAGCCAGATATCAATGTAGTTTCTCTATCATCTTATATATGTACTGTATTCATTTAAAGAGATCCATGATGCCAGGCATGGTGGCTCACACCTATAATGCTATATAATGCCAGCACTTTGGGAGGCTGAGGCAGGAGGATTGCTTGAACCCAGGGTTCGAGAACAGCCTTGGAGAGACCTCATCTCTACAATAAATCAAAAAATTAGCTGGGGGCAGCACACACCTGTAGTTCCAGCTACTAGGAAGGCCTGAGCCCAGGAGGTGGAAGCTGTGATGGCCGTGAGCATG